TTGATTTCTCTCCATTGTGTTTTCGCTCTGACGGCGCGGCGCGGCGTGGCGCGGCGCGTCGGATCGTACGGAAAAGAAGGCGGACGAGCGCGGAAGCGGGACAAATCGTCGCGCGATGCCACGGCGATTGTTCAAACATCCGCCTTGCGGACGATACGATCGATGACCCGGTTTCACCGGACGACGATCGTCCGCCGGTGATATTCCGTTGCTCTGCTGTCGACACGCATCAGTGTCTTCATTATCGGAAAAATACTCGCGGCAACGATAACATCCCAATTCGACCTAGGGGTTTCGCGTCTCGCGCCGATAAAACCGCTCCGATCTCGCGTCGTCATCGCTGTCAATTCATTTAAATTTGCCAGTAATCGAAGACCCGAGCGACAAGTGTTACCGCAGGAGCAGAATACTTGATTTGACTAAAATATCTACGTCCAGCGCAAAATGTGTACGTATCATGCAGAATGAAGCTTCTTTTCAAAGCTTTCCTTTTGTACGCTGCTAATGAAGTTGCGAGTCGCGACTCAATCGAGCATTCCCCGTCGATGCTCTGCAGGCGATAAAAGAAGCTTCTTTCCCCGCGAGGAACGTCACAATCTTACGATCCCGTTGCGGCAAGCATAAATCTAAATATAACGATAAAAAAGAAGCTCGACACGCGAAAACGTGGACCGAGAAGAGAGAGAAAGAGAGAGAGAGAGAGAGAGAGAGAACGGAGGGAGCGCCATAAAAAGAAATAATAAAAAAGAAGGAGTTGGTCCCCGGCGATAACTCGTTCACGCGCGCCCGGTCCATCTTACTCGCGCTTTTACGCGCGCACATTTGCGTGCATGACCAAGCGGCGCGGAGTGAGAAATCGCAAATAAAGGAAAGCAGCGGGCACGAAAGGACGTCATAGGAAGGACGACGGCAAGGGAGGAAGACAAATTCTCCCACAAAATCACGACGTCTTCCAAAGGGAAGACGAGCGTCGTCGTCGTCGTCGTCGTCGTCGGGCTCATTCTACGATCGTACAATAGTCGTCGCACGACCTCGGACACGAGGAAGGCGCGGTGGCCGGATCGCCAGACGGACAATAGCTTTGCCGACGACTTTGTTGTCGTCGCGACGCTGCGCGGCGCGGTCGACGTCGGGCGCTTGTATTGTTTGTCGCCGCCGGTGGAAAAGCGTGCGCGCGCGAACGGAGGAAAGAGGATATAACGGTGAAGTAGGAGGAAGGTGGAAATGGCTGCGGGGACCACGCGGAAAGTCTGCAGGCGATTTCTATTGTCGGCCGCGAAGCGTTCTCCCCGCCGCCAATATAATTGGCGCAGCCGCGCGCCGGATAACTCGGACGATAACGAGGACAAAGAAGCGACGCCGCCGGAAGAAGACAATAGAGAAAGACCCCGAGAGAAAGTCGTGGAGGTTGTCGAGCATCGGCCCGCCACCACGGGCTCCAACCCTTCCTCCCCCCCTCCTCCCTCCCTCATACCTCCGCCGCGATAATAGCACGCAAATCCCGTTGAATTTGACAGACTCCAGTCGCGACTCGTATAATAGTCTGCGTGCGAGCGCGAGTTCCTTAATGTAACTAGCGACTAAGCTAGCAAATAGCCGGTAAATCGCTCGACCTACTTGCGACAGTTTTATCGCCGCGCGATGCGCGCACGAGGGATGCACCACCCGCGTCGTGGGCGATGCCTCTCGCGATTGGCTCGTGACATCTCGCAATCTTCTATTAACCCGAGCGTTTCGACGCGTGTTGCGATCTACGTACAGCGAGTTACGCTGCGACTGTTATTGTGCCAAGGTAAATGGACGATGTTGAAGAGATAACTAGATTTTCTTTTTTTTGTGTTTACGTTCGAGTTGGAAATGTAATTTGAATGAGTCGCTAACTTTCTCTCTCTCTCTCTCTCTCTCTCTCTCTCTCTCCCCCCTCTCTCTCGATGATCTTCGATGGGAAAACGACTAAAATAATTGGTCGAAGCCGAGGCTTGCGCTAAGTCATAAAGATGTTACCAAAGAGTTGGAGAGTCGCAGGCTCCAGGATCTTCCTGAATCTAGTTATCACCGTTTAGAGTAAACATCGATTCCGGGAAAAGGGAGAAAATTGCACTTAATGCGTATAACGGTTGCGGTGGTGTGTCAAAGAGTTTGATAAAGTCAGGTCAGGTTGAAGGGAAAAAAGCCGAGGGGGAGAGAGAGAGAGAGAGAGAGAGAGAGAGAGAGAGAGAGAGAGAGAGTGAGACTCACGCTAGCTACATCGAATAATTATTCGACGTGATCCTCGATAACGAGAATTAAATGGATGGATGAAGAGCGATGAGGAAGCAAGCGAGGGAAAATCCGATAAATTTTCTTTTCTTCCATCCGCGAGCCGGCCGAACGCGCGAACGTCAGGATCCGCGCTCATCGTCGATATTAACGATTAAAGATGATAGTGTCGGCGTTATCAAAGCGATTAAACGCGAGCAGCGCCATTGTGCCGATTGTGCGCGAATGTATCTTGACTGCGGCAGCCGGGTGAGCAGTCTTCTCGCCGTGAGATCCAACAGGTTCAGTGCTTTAAAAGTTATTTGCGAACGGCGCCGGGAGTAGATCAGAATACGCAAAAGTACCGCCGACCACTAACTTCGTCCGCGAGTTCCGATTGCTCTTGTAATTGACGAGACTGTGAAAGATGGACTTTCTAAGAGCCGCCCCGAAGGCGCCGGTGGTAATTGCAGTTTGATCGCGCCCTTACGGCGAACTTTCACCCAGTTCGTGGGCCTTGTAATAAGTCTCGAGTTCTCGCTTTCCGGTGACTTTAACCTTAGACAGCTAATGCCCCCTGCAAAAATTACAGAGCCGTCCTCTCCTCGCAAACTGCAATTAGAACATTGTTGTGCCGCGGCCAATTAAGAAATCCCCCCGTGAAAGACGCGGGATCTCGAGCGAGCGGCGCGCTAATGAAAATTATTACGAAATTATCCAAATTCCAACTTGGAGTCGGTAGGACGACGTCGAGCGACGAGGAGAGCTCCTAACGTCTGTTCAAGCGGCCGCGATCTGTTCTAAAATCCCGCGACACGCGTCGTTTCTCTATTTGTCGGGCGCTTCATTCCGCGCGTTTGCGCGGAAGCAAACTCTACTTTGCAATCGCGCCCGAGCGCTTCTCGAACGAGCTGCCGGTGGTGGGGCTCGGGAAATTGTTATTAAATCGGCTCGAGTGGATTGTCTTCATTTCTGCCGTATGAGTGCCGTCGAAACGGAAGCAGGACAATCGCGGGAGTTGTTTGGAACTTTGTGCGCCGCGTCGCTAACTTAGATTTAACTACGAGCTCACCCAAAGGATTAATGTAGCGTCGTCGTAATTACATGAAGAACGGGAGCGATGTGGGTCGGATCACGTGTACCTCGAAACAGGTCGAATTAATCTCTCTCTCTGCTGCTCGCCCCGGGGCTAAACTTCACGCACATCTCGTGCGTGTCGTTCCTTTGACGCGCTGCTCAGACCTCGATCGTATCAACTCTTTTAATTGGATATCGACCCGATTTTGTGTATGGTGTATGGCGGGCGCCTCGCGCGACTTATTAAGATCGACGAATATCCCGCAGACATCGCAGACACGTCATCCCGCGAATGTTATTTCGTGTTTTTTCGAAATATCAACGTAGCTCGAGACATTTCCCACTTGTTTTAATTAGCGTCCCGTTGATATCGGCGTTACTGAATCACGCTCGATCGGGGTCGAAGTCGTCCTGTCGCCAAGATAAAAAATTCTTCATGTCCGAATATATATATATATATATTTATCGTAAGCAAAAAATCTCTCCCTCTCTCGTTCTCTCGCGAAGATCACTCGACGCGCGGCAAAGACGCGCGATTTGTTCGACCCTTTCGGCAAATCCTTTCAAAGGACCACCGCACGGCGCGGCCGGCGGTATATTGAATTCTGTGATTTCACTCCTGATCGCATCAGCGTCCCAGCGCATCTATCCATATCAGCGAACTACCTTCCGAGGGACGGAAGATCTGTTTTCCGCGGTGGGAAATGGGAACACCGTGGGCCGGCCAGTTCCAGTGGCTTTTCCTAACTTTCGATCCCGCGAGACCGGTCGCCGGACCGGATAGCCGTCTACGATCTACGAGACCGAAGCCGGTCGCCCAGTTGCGCGACAACTGTCCAACGTATAATCGACAAGTCGCAAGTTTACTCCGCCATTGATGCAAAAGACCTGTACGCGTCAGATATTTTGACGTTCTCCGACCACTCTCCTCTCTTCTCCTCCCCTGCACCCCCCCGTCACTCTAGCTCTCTCGCTCTTCGCTCCGCTCCTCTCCTCTCCTATCCAACTGTATATAGCTACGTGTACTCCATGCTGCGCGTATATAATCTATTTGAATACCGCTCGACGCTTAAAAAGGTGGCAAGCGGACAGGCAGGTGAGAACAGCCGGGAATGAAGTTTTTTGATCGATCACCCCCTCCCCCCTCTCGCCTCACCATGCGCTCGCAAATATGAAAGTTTAAGTATTACCAAACTCTCGCGCTCAGTCTTAAAATACTCGAAATCCCGCGGCGTTTTCGATGAAAAATGAAAATGATTAAGAGGATTCTGCGGATACACGTCTTAAGAGAGGGGCTTCGTGTAATATTATAATATGCTAAACCGTCTGCCGCAAAGTACGAAACTTTCGGATTACGGGGTCCCTTTCTGTCTCGGCGCTTGTTAAAATATGCAAGCGGGTTATCCTGTGATATAACGCGTCTATTTATTTTGTATCTCGCTATCGTTTACCTTAGCCGCGAGTCGAGCCGACGCTTCGATGTATTATTACAACTATTATGCGTTCCCTCGTCGGGGAATTTTCTCAAAAGCTGCATAAGCTTCCGCTCCGTCTAGCCGCGTAACGTTATCAGCGCTTCTACTTTGCCGCGCATAATACGCCGGTTACTTCCGCCGATTTTTATAAACGTCGTCGTCTCGACTATCAACGACTAAAGAGACCCTCCTACCCTTGTGTGATTACAGTGGAGCATCTACCGACGGGTTTCCCGATGATCACTCAGGCGCCCACGACGAAGGTGGTCGAGATGGGTCACAACGCGGTACTTCTTTGTACGGCGATTGGCTCTCCGCCGCCGATCATCTTTTGGGTGCGAGACATGCTGCCTATCGATACGTCGAATCCACGATACACGGTCCTGGATTCCGGTAAGTAACACCGTCTGTCAATCAACACGACCGAGGCGAGCGAAGAAACGAACGAACGAACGAAGAGGGCGGCGAGACGCGTGCCCTCGAAAAGTCGAGCTCGTTTAAAATGCAACCTCGGCAGGGAACGAGAGTACGACACGGCGATGCGAAATAAACGACGTTATCGCACGAGCGAGCGTGACGCCTGATTCTCCAGAAACGGAAAGTAGGCCGATAAGAGTCGCGGGAAAGGAGCGCGCGCGAGAGCGGCGGCGGCGCGCGAGAGAGAAATGGGCTACGTGAGCGATCGAACGATGACAAAAGCTATGAAAGATAGAAAGATTAAGGGTGTTTGGCGGGTACACAGGTAGGTAACAATGGGGCGCCCCATCGGCGCGACCGGTGGCGCATGTCATATCTCGTTGAGTGCTCGGGTGCGTAAGTCACTGTCAACCCGCGGCGGCGTTGATCGAGTGGTCACGCGATACGCGAACATCCAGCACATCCATCTCGTTTGCCGAGAGCACACCTGGCCCCGTTCGCGAGCGCGAAGCACACTTCGTGCTCGAACATACGCGCGCGCGTTCATAAAGTGTACTCGCATCGCCGGCTGGCCTCGCGACCTCGACGAGACGCGGCTCGTAGAGATATTCTTACCTCAGCCAAACTTTCGCCAGGATAGCGTACACCGTTTTTTGTCTGACGATCTTGTTCCCCCCCCCCCTCTCTCTCTCTCTCTCTCTCTCTCTCTCTCTCTCGGGCCGCGATATGATATTCACCGCGAAGAATTCGATAATGCCGCGGCGCCACGACGAAATTGGTTTATTATTCACGCCGCACTTGCGTCATTTGGCATTCAGCAAGAGCAACGGCCTTGTGTGCGGTCATGTGCGCTCGTCGCGTGTCTGGCCGCGCCTGCCTGCGACTACTGTGCCGCGCTCGTAACGCGTACGCGCCACTTGGAAGAACCGCGCGATCAAACGGGCGCGTACGTTAATCTACCTCACCTCGCACGCCGATGTGAATGTGAAGTGTTAACGATCTCTCCGTTAAACATAACCGCGCACGCGTCGACTCGCCGCGTCCATTAACGTCCGGATAAGAAATCTAATTCATCCGTTTATTGTATTTATTAATTCAAAAATGGCACACACACACACACACACACACACACACACACGATGTACCTCTCTGTCCCTCCGCTCGGTACGCTTCGTGACCGTACGAGACCGCGGATAGATATGACCGCTGGCGCTTTTTAAACACGAAGCTACCACTTTCGCGATGCGCTATCTGTCTGCGAGCATGCGCGCGTGTGCGCGTGAAACGTGTAAGACGAATATTATTACGCTAATCCACCGCGATCGAGGAGATCCCCTCACCGCGCGGTCGCGCGACCTCTCGCGAGCGAGAAGGCTCGATTACGATCATTCCGCTCGTGTATTTCCGCAAAATTCCCCGTGTCTAAATTCCCGCTCTTTGCATATTTCCCATCGGCGAGAGCGTTAAATACACGTGCGAACGTAATTGAGTAGGGAAAATGTTCCGGGTGAAACTATCGAGCGCATTATTGCTAAACGAAAGCTGCGGAGGGGGGCAGATGACTCGCAAAATATATTAATAATCTGCCCTCTCTCTCTCTCTCTCTCTCTCTCTCGCCGAGGGAAAGAGAAGAAGTCGACAGTGCGCGGTGCAAGAGCGAGAGAGGAGAGCGAGCGAGCAGAGCGAGCGAACAAACGAACGACATAATTTTGCAATGCGCGCCGCGGCGTTTCGTTAAAGCGCTATGCATCCCATTATCATTACCTCCGCTGCTTAATACGAGCTGCACAGCGACGCGCGTACGCATACGCGTACGAATGCACGTATATAACGCACACTTTGTTTTTATCGCTGCGGCGGTATCATTATCGAGCGGGGCACGTCACGTAATACCGGCGCGCACTTCCCCGACTATCTTTACGGTGCCCGGCGCAGTTTGCCGCGACGTGAAAAGTGTACATTAGATGCGGCGAAGCCCGCCACCGCCGCCGCCATCGTTCTGTATATGCAACGCATACACGTGCCTTGCAACACCCGCGCGAGCCGAGCGTGCGTCTTCGCAGCGCGTGCACGCAACCACGTGCGTGTATTGTGGCCACGTTTGCATACTCGCGCAAGACGCATCGGTATGCATCGGGGCCGTATACGAACGCGAGACCGATACGCGCGCGCGCGACCTGGCAATCTTGCTAGAAATTGCCGTAAAGAAACGGGAAGAAGCAGGAGGTACGGAAAGAGGAGAAGGAGGAGGAGGAAACTCGTTCGCCGAGCGAGACGCATCCGACCGGAAACCCCATCCGATCCGAGGCCAAAGCACGCGTGCCGCTTCTCCGTTCCTCCGCACCCGCCGATTCCGCCGGCGCTCGTCAAATCGTCGATCCGAAAACGAATAATCGCCGGATGATCGGCGACTGGAGAATTCGCGATTGCCGAAGCCGACCGCAGCAGTCGGACCGCCGCTCGCGCCCGGTTATTTTCCCCGATCGATAGCCGCGATAATGAAGTATGCCGGACGCTTATGTAAATTCGTTCGGCACGAAGCGGCACCGTTACGCCGGCTATTATTATTGTAATTAGATGGGAGGAATAACAGGACGTGTATTTTTAGTTGCCGCTACCACTGAAGATCTGCCCACTACCGTCGTACTTGCTCTAACCGCTCCGCTCCTCTCTCTCTCTCTTTCTCTCTCTCTCTCTTTCTCGCACGCGTGCTCTTTAATATGCTAGTTGCAGCAGTGATAGTAAATTTATTTGGAATCCAGGGCGAATCCGCCGAGAGTCATTAACGGTTACAATTACTGGTTGCAGCAGTAATACCCGAGATAGCAACGTCACGAATATTCGAGGGTCGGCGGGGGGGGGGGGGAAATAATAATTATGAACCGCCAGCACACACCGAGAAAATGATAGAGCTGAGCGCGCGACGCGGGCTGAAATGTACGCTGCGAGGTAGAGTAAACAGAACATTCATGGAATTCTATAATTCGCGTTCGAATAAAGAGGACAAATCGCGCTAATTCGATCAGCGTGTCGCGCAGCACGCAGTACAACGAGTCCCGCGAGCCGCGGTGCATTAAAAGCTGCGCGGCGAGTCGCGCTCGACGCGCAGCATCCCCCAAAATAGAATCCGCGTCGGTGCGAGTTACGGCCGTATAAAGTTGTCGTTTGTCAAAGCCGCGCGACTTTTTATCGAATGGAAACGGTGCGCCATTGTCGGCCGTAAGATCGAGTTAAGTGCAATTTAACGGAGAGGGGTTGATAACCCCTGGCTGGCTGGCTGCGTGAGAGCCGACCCCCCCCCCCCCCCGAGTCACATCAGTCACTCGCTCTCGCACCCTTAACGTTATTCGCGTGTCTTCGCGACGCCTTCCCCCCCCCCCCCGCGGTGTGATAGCGTCCCAGTCGATAGCGCGCCCAGCCGGCATGTTGCCACCGTCGCGCTATACGCACGTCCCCATAAAATATACGGCTTAATGTATCGCAAAAAGTATATCACGAGCCGATGTACTTTCTGCATATAGCGGCAGCGGCGCACCAAGTTCCGCGCGAGGGAAATGGATGGACGAGAAATAAGGAGCAAGGAGGAAGCAGCGCGAGGGCGCAAGAACGTGGAAAGAAAAGGAGGCGAGCCCGGGACGGCCGAAGGACGGGGGGCGAGGGAAGGAGGGGTGGACGAGAAGGGAAACTGACGCCGTAGCCGAGCGAAACGAGAGTTTTCATAAATTCCATCCCGCGCTGACAAGCATTTTTCTCGTAAATCTTACCTGTCTTCGAACTCGTTAAGCGGGAGCTCGCTCGAAAATTGCGCGCTCGCCCGCCCTCCGCGCCCTCCTCTCGTCGTATCGCGCGCCCGAAACTGTTAACACATTGCGGGACGCCGCGATAGATTGCCGTGTTCGGGCGTTTCGACTGATGATGCATTCTTGACAGCGTTTTCCATCGTTCTCGATGTTTTATCTCGAAACAAGCACGGACGCCGCCAAATATCATAGGACGACGCCAAAAATAACACGCTACAAGGACGAACGAGGCGGTCGATGCAGCACTCGATGCATCGCGCGTGTTTGCCCGAAATAAAATACAAAACTGTCCGATATACGCAATCCATTTTGAAAGTCTATTTCGTTACCTAAAAAAAAGAACACACACGCGCGAGGGGCGCGCTATTATTATTAAAACAAAATGTGCTCAGCGTTGAGCACACACGTCGCACGACGACATTTTGTGAGCAACGCGTTTGCAACGAGTATTTCCATATTATGAACGTATTGCGTGCGCGCGACAATTTTTATGGAAAACTTATTTTCCGAATCTTTCTCAATGTTACGTTGGCGAGATTTAACTCCCCGCCGCGACGTGCTTCTTCTCGCGCAGTTCCTCCGAGCGAGTATTTTTCCGACCTGATATTGTGCAGAAATATTCGCAAGCGAGTATTTCGGTGCGCGTTCAGCGTACAGAATTGTTTGGTCAATCTGACCAAACTGATGCAATTGATTATTCACGCACGACAATTTGATATTTTTATCTCCTTCGTTCATGCGATATTTTGACCAAAGTGTGGTCGATTCAGTCGTCTCGCAAATTTGCGCGACGACGGCGAAAGCGTGTGAAACAATCTGACGCGGAAAGTGCGTCGGACAACGCAAGAGAGAACAGCGACGTTCGGGAGACACAGAGGGAGGGAAAGAAGGAGAGACGATAGACCTTTTTCTCGGGGATGCTTCATCCGCTTTCGCAACAGTTAAATATAGAATTATGTGAAAATTCCGCGTACATACGCATTATTCAAATCTCGCAGATTAAATTTGCCGGGCGCTTCGTTCGCGTTGTCGGCGAGAATTAAGCCGGTGTTAAAATTTTAACTCGCCACGCGCACTCTCCGGTCGGACCATCGCGCTCGCTTGCACGCCCGGATACTCGCCCGTATATATATATATATATATATATATATATACATATAGATATATACCATTGTT